AGATTCAATTTAATTTTATATACCTATTTACTGCCAATAGCCTTTCTTCAGGAGGCAAATCAGTTGCTTCCCATGTCTCATTATTCTCCATTGCTCGTAATTCATTTTGCATAGCACTAACCCATTTTGGCTGAATTCTTGCTTAACTATAAGAACTTGGTTCATGTACAGTTGACAAATTGGCTAGGAATGATGTATGTTCATAAGAAAATACGAGTGAGTGAGTATAAGGGTAGGTGCTTGAAGTATATTGTGATTTACAGGATCCTGTAGGAAAAGTGTTGTCCCTAAACATTGTAATTGAATCATAATGAATAACTGTGGACACAAAATCATTCAACCAACTCGGTTTATGTCTGATTCTTGTGCTTCTTTTTATTTTGATTTTATTATATCAGCAGTGTCATTTATATTGGGTTCTGATAAATTTTGTGATAAAGCTGGAGTTGTATTTGAAATACGCGAAGAGATAGAATTAAGAACATTAAAAGGAGTAGATGATGTATCAAGCTGTATCTGTGGTAGAGAAACTGAGTGATCAGTAGTATGTTCATTTGCATATAGTAGCACATTCTCATGAAATAGAACATCTCTTGATGGTTCTGTAAATCATATAAAATGTATGTCTTTTGACCTGAACAATATCCAATGAAAACATATTTGATAGCTTTTGTATCAAATTTTGTTTTACATGGTAAAACATTTGTTGCAAAACAAAGACAGCACTGGGGTAGATAGTCTATTTATCAAATATGTTGCAGTTAATACAATATAGTCCCAAAACTGTTTAGGTAAACTTGAATGAAACATCAAGCTACTTGAAGCAAATGCTTGTGTTTTCACTCCACAACTCTATTCTGTTGTGGAGTGTATACACATATTTTCTAATGCAGAATTCTTAATTGTGCAAGCAAATTTTGAGTTTTATTACTAGTGAATTCTACACCATTATCTGTTTTTATAGTTTTGATAGTTTTTTTAAATTGATTTTTGATTATGAGAAATATGTTTTTCAAAACATTATAAGTTTGAGATTTGTATTTTATGAGAATGGTCCAAGTTCTTTTACTATAATTATCTACTACTGTGAGAAAATAATATGGCTCTGAAATTGAATTTTCATTATAAGGGCCCCATATATTAATATGTAATAGATCAAACACTGCTGTAGTATGAATAGAACTAATGGGAAAAGGAAGTCTATATTGTTTGGAAGAATGACAGACATCACAAGAAAAATGATCTAAAAATTCGAGATCATTTATTTGATGAATATGTGTGAGTACAAAATTGAAAGGATGTCCTAATCTGTTATGCCAAATTGTATTTCTAGATGCAACATTGATTATGTAAAATTGGCTAGTATATTGTTGGATAGTAGTTGAGTTGAAGGATTTTTGGTTCAGTATGTATAATCTGCCAATTACTTGTCCAATGGCCAACACTTTTATAGTCTGAAGGTCTTGTAAAACACAATGAGTTGAATAAAACTCAAATCTTATGCATGCAATTTCAGTAAGTTTATTAATAGATAATAGGTTGAAATGAAAGGTAGGTACATGAAAGGCTTCTCTAAGAATTAAGCTATTTGATAATAAGACATTTCTAACATGATGAACCAATCTTATTGATCCATCTGTAAATAAACTGGTGTAGGTTTTGTAGTTAGTTGTGGTTCAAGAAGTAAGGTAATTTCAATGCACGTATGATTAGTTGCACCTGTGTTAACTATCCATAATTCAGGTTCTAGCAATTCAAGAGAATTTAACGAATAGTTAAGTATAGTACCTGTAAAATTATGAAAATGTGCAAAGTTCACTAGGCTCTTATTTCCATTCCCCTCATTGGTCCCTTTTCCCTTCAAGAACCTCCATATCTCCTGCCGTATAATATCTGCCATAACATTATTCTAACCTTCTTTGTCTCCTTCATCTCCTTTTGTTTCTGTAAAAATTGCATTTGAAAAAGACTTTTCAACTCCATTCTTAGTTTTCTGTTCTCTTTGTTGTTGCAGTTCTTTGTACTAATCTGATTAGCCTATCAACTTGAATCCTTAGTATGGCCATTGTCCTTACAGTGATTATATTGTCTTTCATATTTTTCTCATTTATCAGTTCTTTTCGAAGTATATTTCTTCTTATTTCCTCTTGTCTTTTCCTTGATCAAGAATTGCGATCTAGCCAACATTGCAGTATTCTCAACATTATCAACAAACATCACATTTACTTCTTTTTGTTCTTCCACATGTAAAACCGTTAAATAGGTCTTATTCACACTAAGCATTGGTTCCATCACTAGTACTTGATTCCTCACATTGTCAAATACATCATTAAGTCCCATCAAGAACTTTATTAACCTACTAAAATCCCTAATTTCTACTATAAGCTTAGTTGATCCACATTGACATCCAGGACTAGGCACCAAACAGTTCAATTCATCCCAGAGTTTCTTTAACTTTGTAAAGTAAGCAGCTACTGACATAGTTCCTTGAGTAATGAAACTTATCTTTCGCTAAATTTGATAGAGTTGTGTACCATTATACTCTCCAAATCTTTCCTTTAAATCCCTCCAAAGCTCTCTTATTGATGTCGTGTACAAGAAAACTTCAACAATTTCTTTCAAAATTGTGTTCAAGATCTAGGAAATCACCATACAATCCACCTTACGCCACTGATTAAATTCAACAGCATCTTCCTGTGGTTTCTGGCAACTTCCATCAATAAAACTTAACTTTTCCTTCGCTCCTAGAGCTATCTTCATTGAACGGCTCCATATTAAAAAATTGTTACCTGTCAATGGCGTTGATGCTAACACCATGCCAAGATGATCCAATCCTTGCAAGTAACGAGGATCGTTGTAATTCAAAGCCTTCTGCTCTAGAACCTATGATTGATTTCCTCTGCCATTGGTTATTTGAGAATCAGTGTTGTTATCTTCCTCGATTGAAAAGGATGAATTCCAATATTGAAATCAAGTCATTGATCTCAACTGGCTCTGATACCATCAACAATTTCAATCTAAGAAAAAATAATTTGAGAGAATAGCTCAAAAATGAAGAATGAGCTATTGATCTTCTAATTCTTCATTTACTAACATTTCATTTATATACAATTACAACAATTATGAGAAAAAAAATTAATCCGCTGAGCTACATTAACAGTTAACAACTAATTTCTAACTAGCTAACTGATTAACTAACTAATTAAATTTACACTATTATTTATCTTTTTTAATTTATTTAGTTTTAAATATGTTTATACATAGAAATTCAGATGTGAATTATTTTTATTAATAGAATTAACAATATAAAATAACAAAATTATTCGAGTAATTGTGCTTAAAAATCAATGTGTGTGTGTATACATATAGTGAAAAAAAAAACAATTTCATGAGAGATTTTGTAAAATATAAAAGAGTGTATGTAGATTGGAAAATATATTCTCCAAAAAGAGAAAGAGCAAAAAAGAAAACATATTTCCTCAAAAAAATAAAATAAAAGAGACAAAGAAAAAAAGACTTGAAATGGCGCATAATTTAAGCACAATTATGCTTTCATTGAGAGTCGAACTCAAGACCTCCCGCTTACTAAACGGGTGCTCTAACCGACTGAGCTATGAGAGCTTGAGGTTTCCTCTCAAAAATAAAATTATATATTTAACAAGTTAAGACATTTTTATTTCGTAATAATATTCAAAATAATAAAATTAAAGTTTCTAGATTTATTGATCTAATAAATAAATACGAAATAAAAATAAGCGAATAAAAAAAGTTCTTATATAAAACACCCCCCCCCAATTAATGAAGTCTGGAGTTGTCCATCTTCTTCCCTCTAAATTTCTCTCAGTGTGCATGTCCATGCGGTTACCATTTCAGCGCGGGAAGCAGCTTTCATCAAAAGCTCCTTCCTTTGCAAAGTCGTTTCTTTCAATAATTGCTCACATGTATACATACACCCTTCTCCATTCCCTTCGCATATATACATTTACGCTTCGCTCTTTCTTCGTTTTCTTAGAACTAAACTCCTTAAACACCGTCTTTTCACTTTCAGTTCAAAACCCCTCCTCCTTTCTTGACCCTTTTAATTGCCAAAATTTTCCGTTGAAAATCCCACAATCTTTCCCAAGAAAAAGATACTATAAACCCTTGAAGAAATATCTTCGTTCCATCTCCATTTTCATTTTTTTCTTGTTCGAGGTAAGATCGAATATCTCTCGATTTCTTTATTCTTTTCTTTGATTCTAGGGTTTTGATGGGGGTTCTTTATGGGTCTTTCTTTGATTAAATTGGGACTTGATTTTCATTTTCTGTAGGAGTTTTCGGTTTGAAGGTGGAGTTTTGTTTTGCGTTCAAGCGAATTACGACTTGTACTGCGTCTTTAGTGGAGAAGAAGATGCCAAACGTTCTCGATAGCGATTCAGTTAATATCAGGGAAGTTTGGAATTATAATCTTGATAAGGAGTTTGCTTTAATTCGTGACATTGTTGATGATTACCCTTACGTCGCCATGGACACTGAGTTCCCGGGAATCGTTCTTCGAGTAATCGGGAATCTCAAGAGTCGTTCCGATTACAATTACTATACTCTGAAAGTGAATGCTGATCTCCTGAAATTGATTCAATTAGGTCTTTCCTTCTCCGACGAGAAAGGGAATATGCCCACCTGTGGGACTGACAAGTATTGTGTTTGGCAATTCAATTTCCGCGAGTTCAACCCAAATGAAGATGTTTATTACAATGAATCCATCCAGCTCTTGGCTCAGTCCGGCATTGATTTCAAGAAGAACAACGAAATGGGTGTGAGTGCATTTAGGTTTACTGAGCTGTTGATGTCTTCTGGAATCGTTTTGAATGATAATGTCCACTGGGTTACTTTCCATAGCGCGTATGACTTTGGGTATTTGATCAAGTTGCTAACTTGGCAGAATCTGCCGGATACTCAGGCGGGATTCTTTACTTTGATCAAGATGTATTTCCCCAATCTGTATGATATCAAACATTTGATGAGGTTCTGCGACGGCCTCCATGGCGGGTTGAACAAGGTTGCAGCTATTTTGGGCGTGAAGAGGATCGGTGTTTCTCACCAAGCTGGTTCGGACAGTTTGCTTACTTGTTGTACATTTATGAAACTGAAAGAGATTTTCTTTAATGGTTCCCCTGAGAAACATGCTGGTGTTCTATTCGGGCTTGGTGTTGAGGCTGGTCTGAGTATTCAGTGAACGAAAAGGAACTATCAACTAAAAAATAAAAATGAAATAAAACTAAAATGAACCTATTCTGACTACTTGACTTTGCTGGCCCCAAGATTTCCCTTATCTTATAATTTATCTGCACCTATAATTCATGAATTTCGTGAAGGTCTTGGAATGGGTTTTTGATGAACAGATCATCGAAGTTTGAACCTCGAAATCCTAAGTGTAGTGTTCATTAACATTTAGGAATTTCTTGAGAATGAAGGGAAGATGCAAATCTTTCTGGAAATGCTTATGAAGCCAGTGCTTCATAATCTTTTTTTTTTAAAAAAGAAAGTTTGCTTATAGTTTGAAGAACCTGATGTTGATTGTTTATGGTCTCTGCCATATGGAAATGATGTTAGGATTATTTCTACTACCATTTAATTGGTCAGGCAAAGTCTTATTGTCTCTACATAAGGCATTACTTTTCATGCCTTTATACTGCCGCCTAAGGGTTGCAGTATATCATCTGTCATATATCTCTTACCTGGTCAAATGGGCTGCAGGAGTGAATGGAACAATATGTTAACTAGGCTGTGGTTTGCCACTGCACAATTTGCTGTTTCAGTTTGCATAGTGATGACATAATTGTGTTGTGTTTTCACTCTGAGGTTGCCTCCGAGGGACTATGAAGTTGCCTCAAGATTTACTTGGAAGCAGTTTGGAGAAAAGTTTCTTCTCTTATTGCTTTATTTGCTTGGGACACTGGTTAGGGCAGAACACTCGTATTGATAACCTTTGAAAGTGTGGTAGATTCATAGTCAATGGGTGCCCTTATGTGCTTGCAAGAGAGTGAATTAACAATCCATCTGTTTTCTGGTCTGCAGAGGCTAAAAGGTTATGGGATTCATCTTTGTCCATCCTAAAACTGCTAGTAGTTCAAAGTTTAGATGAATTATGGCCATGTGATGGCATTAGAGTATGCAATCCCAGGAAAAAACTTGTTTCCCTCATTCTGTTGGCTATCATCTGGTAATCTGAAAAGAAACAAACAAGAGGAATTTTTATGGCATTATGTCTCCTTTTGCTAGCATTAGAGATCAGTGGTTTAAATTCTTGAGTATTTTATTTAGTGGTTATCCTCTGAACTTCCAAGAGGACTTTGTATAACTTTATTGATGTTTTCTTTTTTTTTGGCAATATGTAAAATTTTTCTGTACTCGGGTGGATCCCATGGATGCAATGTTAGTATAATTACGTCTCTTCTTCCTCTCTGAAAAGGAATTGTATTCTCTAGTTCATGCAATTACATATGTACAGTAAATGCACTGGAGTCTCCCTCAAGTTTCCCTTATTTAACCGGAATGTTACTTTGTTATTCATGACGCCGACCATGCTACTATTTATTCTTGGGATTTTAAAATATCCTTCTATAGTAGAGCCTAAATTTCAGAAGCAGCTGAATTCTGCTATTTAGTTACTTTTCTAATGTTGCTGCTCAAAGGTGGCTGCTTATTTTTGGAGAAAGGGGCTAGTTGAAGGTCTGCAGTGGCTTTTACTTAGCAGAATGAGGTTCTTCAATTCATTTTTCCTTTTTTTATTACTTCCTACCAATTACGCCCAATTATTGTTTCTTGGTGGTTCCTCCCTTATGTTTTATATGCATGGCTGCTCCCCCCTAATCAACTTGAGGTGTGTTCAGCGTGGTTTATGAGAAGATGAAGGAAACCAAAGAAGCTGAAAATTCCTATTTAGACATGTTTGCTGGCTGTTTTTGTCCAAAACAAGAGGATTTTCCTTATCCCACCTTCTTCAAGGTAATTTCTTTTAACTTCTCTTCTAAGTCTTTTTCTATTCAATCTTTTATAGAATGTTTTAACATCAAATTATCTCTGCATGGAATGGACTTACTCTTGACAGGAATAGACTTGGCATTAGATCTTTGGTTCAGTTGAATAAAGGCGTTGCTAGAGAAATGGCTTTGGAGATTCATGCAGGCTGAAGGCAGGTCATGGTGGAGTGTCATAAGGGCCAAGTTTGGTCTTGAAGCTATCGAGTTGGAAGCCAAGAATTCTAGAGTTGGGTGGAAAGCCAATAACTTCAGAGACGCTGGCTTAGCTCTATGGAAGGATATGTTTTGTTGTGTCAAAATGAGGATTTACCGACTAGTAGATTATGGTTTCGGCGTGATGATTGGTGCAATGATGGCGTCCAGAGGAAAATAAGCAGTGGTTTGGAAGTGGCTTCTGTGTTTATAGGCCAGGTAGTGGAACTTACTAGAAACTTCAACCATTGGGAGGTAGATAGGTATAATAATAGATTTTCTTTTTTGTCTGTTGGGTAGCAGTGTTTCACTACTAGAAGAAAATGTGCAAATTCGGAATCAATGACTGTTCGTAAGTGCACCTATCTTCCCTACTCTCTACCTCGGCCACTTCAAATTTTCATGAAGGTCTATCTGGAAGTGGAATGCACTCTCCAGAATTACATTTTTGCTTGGGAGGCAGCTAAGGTAGAATCCTCACTATTAATGATCTGATGAAGAAAATACGAGATTGTATTTGTGTAAAAGCAGTATGGGATCTCCTGATCATCTCTTGTTGCATTACCAGCCCTCCAGTTTAGTACACTACCAATGAGCTTTTTGTGTTTTGAGTTTCATAGGAGATGAGATCTGTAATAGTAAATGATATTTATTTTTTTAAAATAAATTATATATTCATAAGCACCAAGGTGCACAAATCTAGAATGATTACATTTTGAACCTATGATGTTTAGCAAAGTGACAGATAACTCAAAATAGGAAGAAATTTTTACACTCGTTACTTGTTTCACCACATTGATTGTATAAATATGACTGGCCATAGATTTTTCACTATAAAAAATCTTGTTTCTGATGGCAAGGAGTCTCCTCACAGTCAGCATTTAGCAAAAACAAAAATGTGCTTGGAATGATTCAAAAAGACAGAGACCAGAATAAGAATTTGTAAAAGAATAGACCACAACATACTCTACTTCTATTCAGGATCAACTCCCTCATTTCTAGTTCTATTGGCAGGAAATGACAGACCGAAATTGGCCAGAACTCATGGATTGATGCTGGATATAGCCAACTAAACTCCAGAAGAGTCTTGCTTTTTCATAGGTTACATTATATCTGGGCGATCAAGCATGTCTACCAAGGTCATCCTGCGAGGAAATCTTGGCGGTAACCTTAAATACATAGCATCCTCAATCTCGATAGGTAGATGGGTTGCTATGATCACAATCCCGCCTTTCTTTCTGTGCTCTGCAATTATAAACTCTAGCAACTTCACTCCTTCGTCATCTAAGGCAACTGAAGGTTCATCAAGCAACCAAATTGGCCGATCTATTGCAAGCACCCTTGCGAGCTGCAGCCTCTTACGCTGGCCCATTGACAGCATTCTTGCCTTCTCTTTTGCCAGTCTTCCAAGTCCCATCAATTCCAAAGCAGGTAACGACTTCCCTTGCTTACCCTCAAGAACTTCAAACCACTGAACGTTGTCAAGAACTGTAAACTTCTCTTTAACGGCATCTTTGAGGGAAAGCCAATTTAGCTGAAGCTTATATTGGTGAAAGATTCCAGATTTTGTGATGTCATGACCATTCCAAAGGATCTCACCAGCAGAAGGTTTTGAGAATCCAGCTAACATTCGCAAAAAAGTGGTCTTGCCTGAACCATTACTGCCAGTTAACACGAGTGCCCCACCATCATGAACAGAGATATTTACATGTCGCAAAATTTGTTGGGCATTTCTCATGCATGAGACATTGTTGAGGAGGATCCGAGGAAGTGGGGGCTTTCGAAGAGACATGGAAGTTTCAGAAACATAACAAGTGTTACCAGATTTTCGGAAGTGATATTAAAACCTGAACCAACCATAACTAAATCAGGCAAAACTTAATACTTTAAGATTTTGAACTTACAAACTTGATTTTCAAAGAAAATTAATAAACATTAGGAAGAAGAAACATCAAGTCCTGAAAATGATCAATATGATTAGAGCCATGAAAGCATGCTGAAGCAAGCATGAATCCCAATCTAACCATTAAAAAGCACAATGTGAATGTGATTCTGCACAGAAGTTTTTTGAATCATTTAGATCATGAAGATTTAAAAGTAAGAGCGCAAAAAACCAAAAAGAGATACTAGAAACCACCCAGAACTCATCAAAGCAAATACCCACTCACTATATCCCCCATACCCTTCCACATAACTTGAGAGGTATGTTCAAACCTTTTGAGGGAGAAATTCAACCTCAAAAAAGAAAGAAAAAAGCCCAAGATTACAGCCTTTACTATAGTGAAAAAGCCTGCAGCCATTTTTTGAATAAATGAACTACTTTTTTGGAATTCATTTAGAAATCACACTTAGTTCATCTACAAATTGGCAAAAAAAAGAAAGTTATTTTAAGTTCTATCAAAATTAATAGAATTTAAAATACACTGTCCAAATTTACTCGAAAATTTATAGTATGTAAAAATTTCTTCAACTTTAGAAGTTCTATAAGTAAAGTTCACTTGTTTCAAACGAAACTACATGTTACAAAACCTCCTCTAAAAGCAATTTTGATCTTTAATTGAAATTTGGCCACACAAACAATAATAAGAGCTAGTGTCCAGGCTATGGATTCTTTTTCCTTCTTGGTCTATATTTTTCCTTTATTCAGTTGGATGCTTTAATCATTGGAACACATTTATTCTTTTGGCCTTGAAAATTAGTGCAATTACTGTTATGTAAATTTTCCATTTTGCAGTAGGAAAGCTTCCCATAAAAAATCTACATGTATGTATGTCGACATGTATATGCATATGTATGCATATATATGCAAAATGCTCAAATATGAAGTAATCATGCTTCTCAAAAGCTAAATTCAGAAATTTAACAGTCTTATGAAAGATCCAGGATAATCAATTAGCAAGCCCATTGAAATTTCGTTCTGAAAGATTATACATGTAGAGAGAGGGAGTACCAAAAAGAGCAGCCTATCTGAAGGTTCTCTTCTTTCTGTTTTCCAAATCTTCTCCAATTTCTCAATCAACCTGCAGAAAGGAGCAATCATCAATTGCCAAAACAAACCCTAGAGAATCCAAAAGACCTTTGCTTTAACGGGGTTGACAAATCATGAAGAGAATCCTCTTCAAAATTGATTGAGGTTTGGGAAGTACAGAGATTCACAAGTGAAAAAAAGTTTATGTAAAAGGTTTATATGGATTTTATGGCGTCAACATTTTAAATACAGATGACCTTAGATGATGAAATAAAGGTGGATGAGGACAACGAAGAGGTTAACTGAAGAACAAGAGAAGGAGAACTGGTAGAGAAAATAACAAAGGAAAAACCCTCAACAAAATGCTGCATTTGACACAATAAAGACCTGGCTGTCCTTCGATTTAGAATATCTCCAAAAATTAAAGATTATTTTAAAATCATGAATGTATAACATTGGAAAACCTAAGGGAGGAAAACTTAGTTTGTTTTAAATACACTCAGATATTATAGTTTGATATCATGAATTCAAGTCTTAGTCTTACCATTATCCATACCCACTCCCCTCTAGAAAACAACCCGGTAAAGCCTGTATGTATTTGGCTAAAGCACATTTTTCACTAATTTAGGATCAAATAAAGACTTGAGAGCATCTTAAATAACAAAAATTTAACAACAATTAAGTTCTAAAAAGTTAAATAGAACTAGAGTACATTGTAAGTTAGTTGAAATTAATACAATTTAAAAATAGTTTATGATGATTTAAAAGAGAACTTAGTTCATTTGCTTAATTTTATTTCATAAATTTTTTTTTGGAGATATATTTCATAAAATTATTTACAACCTGTTTAATCCATTTTTTATCTGACATGCAATTAAAATCTGGTAATAATTTCATAATAGTATTAATGTATATAATTAGAATGTAGTTTTTCGTGTTTGATTTATTCTCAATCAAAAAGAATTTAAAATGGAATAGAGATTGTCACAACGCAGCAACAGCAAAGCTCTTCAACAAATATATATTTTTCATTTTTGAAAATAAAGAGGGGAAGATTAGAAACGAAATCAAACACTAGAATTGACAGGCACTCGCAGCAACCAAAATCAGCCTACCAGACTGTTTATTCCAGTCGAATTATTCACACCCGAGAAAGACCAGCAAAGTAAAGCCAGGCTATCATACCAATGAAGCAAACAGTTTCATGAACTCATAAGCTCCCATTACAGTTATTCTCACAAGTCATCAAATTAAGCAAAAACAATTCATTAAAGAGCACAGCAATCCATAAATTTTCTCAACACTTTCCTGAATATATATAATAAAAGAAAACAGCTTTCCAAGATCCATAACGTAGCTCCCACTAATCAAAATACCAACAAGCATGATATAACCAACCAAGAGCCTGTCACCTAAAACCTCTTATGTATTTTCACCAAAGAGCCTACATTCACATACATATATTCACGAAGTAGTCTTGAAATAGAAAAAAAAAAAAGGACTGGTGAAATCCAAACCTACTTCAACTGAATGAACAACTATTTTCATTTTTCAATAATACACAAAGCCGATCATTGCATAATTTCATGGCAAATGCCCAAAGTAAACACTGACCTTTTAGCTCAAAAAGGAAGCACCAAGCTGAAGGTTTCAAGACCAGCTCGGAATTGTCCTCTGATTCCCTTTTCTCCTTCCTAGAGAAGCCTTAATTTTCCCTTTGTTTCACCTCACAGACGACCAGATACGAAACCTAAAACACAAAAAAAAAAAAAAAAAAAAAAATCCCTCTGATTCTCTTCTCTCTGTTTCTGTGGACCCAAACTTCTTCTCCGAGTTTCCCCTTACTCTCTATAACACCAACATTTCTCTCTTCTCGACCTATCCGAATCAAACTCTGTTTCTGCCTTCCAATTTCTCCCTTTTTCGTTTTATTCCCCAGTTTTCCCTCTCTTCGCCTTTCTTTCTGGACTCTCAATCTGCTTTCCTTTTCTCTTTTTGCTTCTGCCAGAGGTGCCAACGGCGAAAAATGAAACAATGAATGAAGACCAGAACGGTGTCGTTTCACTCTCTACAAGATTGGTTTTAGTGGTATAAATAAGTTATTGTTTCAACTTGTGCAACATTTTTTCAGTAACAAAAAAAAAAGAACAATAATTACTGAGTATACATTTATTATTCGTGAATGATATTATGAAAAAATGTGAGTAATTTAAATTACTATTAAAAATATATAGAATTACCCAAAAATTATGGCTATCGAATATAAAACCTCGTTTTGAGTATTAGCCTCGTATTATTCGATCGCTGTACTCATCACTCAGTGCTATCGCTGATCTACCACTATGCATATCATTCGATTACGACTCAGTATCAATCACTACACTCATCACTCATTCTATCGCTGTTCTACCAGTACAAATATCACCCATTATGTTCAGTTACTACTCGTATCATCCGACAACAAATAGAACATAAAACAAGAGAAAAATACGAAGTACAGATTGATTATTCTCCCAGAAGAGAAGAGGGATGTCATGTTAATTGCTGAAATCATTTCCTTTCCTCGTTTGTTAAATACTTATAACTCAAAAATGGAACTTTCTGAAATCGTTCCCGGTTTCCTGCCGGAGAAAAAAGTAAGGAGGAAAACTTATAGTTCGTATTTAAGCTACAGAATACAGGAGGAAGATAACAGAAAAACAACCACTAGACAACAGATAGTCTTAGCTTGTTCTCTTCTCAGACAACAGATAGTCTAGCTTGTTCTCTTCTCCAGAGTCATACAAGATTTTCGTCATCTGCTGCTAGTTTTCACTTGGGAAGATTCTCAAGAAACAGCAATACTCCTGCTTTGAATTAGTGCCTGCTTGCTTGCTGGCCAGCTCCTGTGAAAGACTGGGAACATGACTCATTCAATCCAGGCCATGTCTTAGGAATACAATCCAAAAGGAGAATAAATGTAATATGTGCCACCATCAGTGACAAGTTTAATGTTACACCGACTGGTATATACACATAGTACTAAAGTATATGGAGGCCATGGCGTTAGGAGATTATTCTGAGACAAGTGGCCTGCCCAGAAACCCTAAATAAACCATTTTCGAAGTCGAAGGGGGCGATAGAAACTTATCGATTCCTGATCCGATGATTGAAGGCTGCTGCAGAATTGCCGAACACAAAACTAGTCCGGCCAAATAATGTCAGCTCCTCAATCTGATAGCAATTAGCCAAAATAATGTGTGAAGTATTAGTTACTGATCCATCTTCGTTTGCGAGCAGGTCGCTCCTGCTTGATCTCTGTATCCACGGGAGTTTCACTTTTGGCAGAAGGAAGAGCTTCACTCTCCATTTTCTTTATTGCCAACGCATCTTTGTCACTTGGCATTGGGAGCTTGAACCGCTCACTTCTCTTCTTAAGCTTCTCAACTGTATCTAAGTGTCGGTCCTCCAAAGATTTATCGACATCTTTGATCTCTGGATCGCCGCCACCCTTCTCCTCAGACAAAGAAAGCTGGTTGCCACTGGGATCAAGGACTTTTGCACTCTCACCTGGAAGTTCACTGGCTTTTGAAGAGCCGTTGTTATTCCTCTCACTCTCTTTGAACTTCAAGGAAGCCGATGACTTGCTGCCCATACTGTAATCCCTCTCCTTATGGCTTGTCCAACGTTCCAGCTTTGAGCGCCCTCTCCTTGAATCTTGCAGTTCATCATCCGAGGAAGCATCTTCCCTGTGTCTCCGGGAAGAGTTATGTTGGACTGGAATATTATTCTTGCCGTTTCCTGGCTCACTTGTACACTTTAAACCCTAAAAGAGACAAAACCACTCATGAAGACATAAGCTTAACTCCCCAAGAGAAGGGGCCAAGTATGAAACAACCTACTTGATGATATAAAAGGAGGTGAAGAAAGAACAAAATATAATGACCACAAATTCTTGCGATATGCCAATCCTACATCAATGAAGCTGACAAACAAACAGATTCCAGAGGAGAAAAAGTGAAACTTACAGCAAATAAGTCCATTCAAATCCACCCGGGAAAACCGAGTCTATGTCACACACAAACTCACGCAAACATATAAAGGAGCCACTGAAATCCACCTAGGTTCTTTTGAGATAATAAGTATTTTTCTTTGAGATAAAAAATCCATCTAGGTTAAGTACAGGTCTAGCTCACACTCTTTCACAAGACACATATACTGCAACTTCCACCTGTTTCGCTCCAATTTTCCAAAATTCATCAAAGATCAGACTGGAAAAACCTCGTTAATGTCAAGTGTATGGCATGTCCAATTTGATTATAAATGACTCAACATCAATTTTTTTAGTAAAAATAACTATATACCCATTGACACCAAGGAGATGCAGCCCGTACACAAAAGAATTTACAGCTCCAACAAAATGTATATAAGGTCTTCAAGATCCTTGCTAAAATAAAGTAGATGGTATCATAAATGACTCGATATCATAGCTAATGTATTTGCATATTATATGAATGCCACCAGCAAAAAATAGATATAGATCACTCCATCACCTATAAATCATAGGCGTCAAAGATGAGATCATATACAATGAATATGTGCCTTCACAGCAACCTATAATTCTGAAGCCTTAGATATTAAAATAAATCCATTTTCTTCGAGGAAAGGAGGGAGAAGAAAGAAAAAATATGATCATGAAACAAATCAAGAAGATACCGAGCCGATATGATATGATATTTTTTCCGTGACATTGAACACACACCTTGCACATTCAAGTTAGCGAAAGAAGGTTAAGCAAACTACCTTCATTAATAACCAAATATCCACCTCCGAGCTTCGCAATATAACACCACTCTACAAGAATGCTTAGCAAATCCTATGTATTTTATCATGGAAAGAAATCCTCAGATTCAAATTATGTATTGCCCATCTAGTATGTTGCTATTAATCTTGCCTTTTCAAAAGAAAACACCAGAATTAGAAGTTATTCCTTAGCAATTCCATTATGTAGAAGCTTATGCCTTCCGAGTCAAAACCCTGAATAAACATGCAGTCACATAAAATGTTCAAAGAAACCTATATTTTTGCCTTTGTGCAGCAACATATGCCTTCAAGTCCACATCCTAATAACCTAATTAATGGGTGCCAACTCAAAATATCCCATGAATTAAAGAGCATTGACTAGTCATGACTAACAGCCTTACGATTTGGCTAACAATTTGAGGAAAAGAATAATTAACTATTCATTCTTGCCTCAACCTCACCCCTTAAGAAAATTTGCAATCTAAACAAAATAGACGGTCGCGAGCAGGTTTGTTCACTTAGCCATGAGATACCTTATGGCATTCTAGAAATGCTTACCCAGATATATAAGCATCTTTTCAACACTCCGCTTTTGCTATTCATTACATATTCCCTGTAAGTGGGAATCCAGATGGAAACCGTTGGTCAAGCAATTTGCACATGTACCTGACCCAAAGGACTTGTCCCATTGGTCATTTCTTCCCAGCATCACAGGTAAGGTGGCTGAGATACCTAGGGTTCTAATCCAAATTACAGACCTTAGGGTACATCATAAGGACATGAAATAAAAAATTGGCATATCTGGTTAGCACAAACAGGAGGTTTGAATACCATCAATCCTAATCAGAAGATTTATTTCTTTAATGGCGGCACGTTCCCCGACAACAAAACTTACAAGGACAGGCCTCCTTATCTTCATCAAAATTTATTTTCTTAAGTATATAGAATATACCATGTCATTAGTGTGACCACTTTGGTCTTCTTGGTTTCTCTTGGACAAGCTTACAGTGTTAAGATCTCCACCTTCAGATTCTTTATTCTTTCTCGTGTTGTCTCTGTGCTTTTTCTCTTGCACCCTTTGGTTATCAGAAGCTTCCGCAGCACGGTCATTACGAGTACTTGACCTTTCCTGCCGAGATTTTCTCTCATCATTATTTGGTTGGCTTTTTCGTGCATGAAAATCCTCACGACCCCTGTGATGTGAAGAATTGTCATCATCAATGCGTTCCCTTCTCTTCAGCTGTTCACCATATCGAATTGTGTCTTTGGCTTGGTACTCTTTGTCAGAACCTCTATACTCGTCCTTCGTCCGAGCATGGCTTACCAATCCTCTGTCTTCGGATGTACGCCCACTCCTTACAGTACTCCTCCCTTCTCTCTCCCGCTTAGACAGAATTTCTTCATGGGACTGTTTCAACCTATGCCATTCTTCCCGGTCTCTCTGCCTCTCACCCCTCTCTCTCTGCAACCAAATTTCATCTTTGTGCCTAACAGTGTGGTGATCATCATAATTCTCTCTAATTCTTTGTTGGTCATCTCGCTTTTGCTGGTCCAAGAAATCATCCCTTTCACGTTTTCGACGGCTTGTGGATTCTCTGTGGCCATGTATGATTTCAGGCCGATCAGAATGGTCCCTAAGATATTCCTCATCCTTCCTTCTCTTACTGTGGTAATCATCCGCTTCATACCTACTCTTCAAGTTATCATCTCGTTCCCTATGCCTCGAGCCAACATCCTTGTCATAATGAATTTTGTAGTTGCCATTATCTAACTGTTTTCTGTCAATCCTTTCATTTTCTCGAACCTTACCCCTGTGCCTGGATCCCGCTTCCTCTTCACGATCCCTCTTCCTTGAGTCTTCGCCCCTACTTTTTCTACCATAAGGGTCATCTTCTCTCAGTTGCCAAGCTCCATCAGGATCCTTTCTCCTATCAAAGCTCTCTGTTTTCATATATGGATGATGAGCCAATGTTTGATCAAAATCCCTATAAGAATACGAATCTTCCCTCCCTTTTACTGCCACATGAGTTCTTTCCAGGTCCTGTCTCCCATCACGATCTTTTCTACGGTAATTATGTTCATTTTCATCAAGTCGTTTCCTGCTGCTGCCGATTCGAGCAGAATGTCTATCTTGAACAACCTCCTCTTCTATACCATCTCTCCGTTTCTGATTATCTCTACTACTACCAGATCTTGCTTTACTGTTTTCACTACTTCTAGCAGCCTTTGAATCCTCCTCATCATCAAATGGTTCAACTTGAGAACTCACATTTTGTTTCTTCATGGAGTGAGGGACAATTCCATCTTTATCATTTATCACTTCCTCCTTCTCCATTACTGAACTTTCATCCGCATCAGGTGAAACATCTTTTTGCTCAATACTTGATTCCCTTGCATCCCTGACAGCACCAGGAGATGCAGGAAGACTACGATTACCGCCCATGCTTTCAGTTGACTCCTCTTGATTATCGAGGAACTTCTCGTCCTGCACACTGGGAGTAGGAGTTGGTTGAGGCGAGCTGTCATTAGCTCCTCCCTGTGTCCTCCTGAGAATTAGAACAAGTGTTCATTAACTTTAGGTGTAACTAATGGATCAAATATAAACCTAGACATCAAGGCCATATAAAACCACAAAAGAAAAAAAGAACAGCAAACAAGAACTCATTATGGGAGATTAACTGTCGTTAGCTTTGGATTGCAGTAGCAGAAAATTTTCATTTTGATGTCCATGAAAGAATGCACGCAAGCATATATAAGTAAAAATCATTAGCAAAGATGAAATAAGCAAGAAAATAGATTAAATGAATTTCATAGACCATTTTCCTTTCTACCATTCTCAAGATCTCCTTGAAACCTTTAATAAGGTCTCTTGATGCATCTGCAAATTTCCAGAAGTTATTACTGTCACCAGCATTATTGATACAGAAATATATGCAAAGATTTCCCAATGTCCAGATTTTCTCACTTGTCCCTTTTCAGATGTAGTTATTAATTTTAGTATGCATTATCAGTTCAGAATAGTATGCACTAGCTTCTACGCCAAACATCAAAATGAAGATGAAAAGAAAAGAACTACCTCTCATGTGATACAATGAAGCAAAATGCTACTTCAACTCTTTAACACAGCAGTAGCAAAATAGAACTTACAGAACTCATGATGACGAAAAATAGTACTATTCTATCTGAAAGAAGTCCTAGTTACTTGGTACCTCTCATCACCACGAGAATATACAGGAGTCTGACCCCTTGAAGCAGGACGATATTGAAGCGGTGCTTCTGGAGGAAAGGGCAAAGAACCATCTCCTTGAGTTGTTTCCTCATGAGCAGAATGAGCAAAAGATGCCCTTCCAATTTGCTTCTTCTTTTGAACATTGCAATCATAACTATCAGAATATTCAGTCTCGGTTGGTCCATTGTCATCAGCTATGTGGTCCCCTCTAAAATCTTCTTTTGGAAGATCATTTTCAGTCCTCTCCTGGACATCATTTTCAGCAGGGGAGGCATCACTAAAAGTGTCCTGCAAGACAATCTGTTTACAAAAATATCTTCAGTTAAATTGTATGGCCATAGCATAGCAACATAAATTCATTGCAGATTCACAGGTTATCCAATTAAAACGCAAATTCTCCGCCAACCTCAATGATTGCATCAGAATCACGGACACGAGGAGGACGAGTATCGATGGAAGGAAGACGTTCACCATAACCACCTTCCACCTGTATTGCTCTCCCAGTAGGCTGTTTGGAAACATATTAAGCAAGTTAGATTCAAAATGATATAAGAATGAATTTGATACTTTAAGACCACTTAGTATACTTTGTTGGACCCCCAAAACATATGCATGATAAGAGCCCATTTTGAAAACAAGTTTTACAAAAGTACAAATCCACAAGGAAATTGTTTATGAAACAATCAATCACTCCTCCTGCCATGTCGCACATACGAAGAGATTAAAACTAGCAGGAGAACATACTAATGGTGGTCGCACGCGAGCTTTTGTCAAATCACTTTGTCCAACATCTGGCTTCCCAAAGTTAACGTTGTCAGATGGAACATCCTGAGCACCAGTTGCTGCAGCTAATTCCGGAGGCATATCGGGGTCATATTCCTAAGAGAAAAACAATAATAACGATAATAATTTAACCTCCATTCTCCAAAGTTGAAACTTAAGAAGCCATCTCATCTACATCAATCTCCTTAAGTGCTTTATGCAGGTAACATCAATTTTCCAGAGAAGTAAAAGCACCTCATTACCTGCTCTGTTCGCCCACTTTCATAAACACGAATTTTACTTTGCATGGTAGTCTCCAAGCGATGCTGTTCCTGTAGAAGTTTGAAGGATTAACTCTTATTTCTAATTTATGAATTTATCCATTATATAAAAGAAAAAAATGTTTACCAGCTGTTTGCAATAATCCTTCCAGCTATCCTCATTCAAACCAAAGTTGAAGAAATCAGAAATCTCAATACCAGGGTATTTCCATGGCTTTTCCTCAAAACCATCAATATCAACATCAAATATAGTCCTGAAAAAGCATTGGGCCAAGAAACACTTGTGAGCTCAATAACTTTTTGTCTGCTTTAAGAATTATAAATATGTCAGACAAAGATAATCCCAAAAATTCCAGAAATACATCCTGGAACAACCATTTGCTTAAATGCTAAGAAGCTATTGACACGGAAAATAAGTGTAGAATTCTTTCTCAACTTATTAGGTGGTTTCTTTTCCTTCTTGGAAGGGAAAAAACAAAAACAACTTCAAAAACATATTACACAGTGGTGCCAACAAATTCTCCACCCTCCCCCGCCCAAAAAAAAAGGAAAAAAAAATATTGATTATTTTTACTTTGGCTACTAATCCCTGATCGTAGACAAAGGCTATTGGTTTGGACACCTATCAACTATAGAGATTGTAAGATACTTCTTAAGTTAAAAAGTTGCATAGGGTGAAGCACTATGTCATTGTACCTGAAAAATCTTATAGAAGAGAAATAATCAACATAGCATTCATGATCTAGCACCAAGAAGCAAAAACTGAAATTTATCTAGAAGATAAAATTACAGGACCATCTGAAAGTTAAATTGTTTGTGGAGATGAATGCAGAAGCCAGCTTTCTATGTAAAAGGAAAATGTGGAAACATACAATCTAGAGTTTACTTATCTTCATTGCATCATTCCCAGCAATATTTTATAGTCATAACTTTAACACGGTACAACAATGTGGTAAAACTAATTTTCCTACATGTACAAAAGGAAAAGGAATTCACAAACATGTCAACAATTGAACAAGACAACGAAAATCAAACTACCGCAACAGTTTCCTTGCACTCTTAAATAGAAGATTCAAAAGATACAAATATTGATGACTCATCATGATAGAAATTAACAAAGATAACTATATGAGACAACAGAAGAAAATATAAGACAATAGAAGAAAATATAAGACAACAAATAACAAGCTAAAGGACTTTCATGAAAGCCAAAACATATAGCCATTATTTGCATCCAAATAAAAATTACTTGTGAGACGGAAGTGTAAATTCCAGTCCGCCACCAAAACCCCGCCCTGACATATTATTACCCCACGGCATTCCAAAGCCAGCATGGAAGCCTTTCTGCATGGTTTGAGCATTTTTTATTCCTGGTGGACGCCAGTCACCTCTACCACGGCCAGCCAAAGGAACCAAGTTTCCAAGAGGACGGATTTGACCGGGGGCACCCCCAGGACCACTTGTAGTTGCTCCGGGCACTGGTGCTGCACCAGGTCTAACATACTGCATGTGGTGGAAAATAGACCATAAGATTAATGGGAAAATGTAACTGGAATGACTTGGCTACAAATAGAAAGGAACTGCAACCCACAGCATCTATGTACAGAAGTTAAGCTTCACTACAAATGATTGAACTCCTAACAAACATGCATTTCCCTTTCAAACGCCAGCATGCGTGCACAGTTTGCAAATACATGCATGTATAATTTTTATACTAAAAAGTGTGCATACAATACAAGATCAAGGTCATATTTTCATCAAGTTTTTCATCATTTTTTCCATAAATATCAAAATTTTTAGTAGAAAGATAGAATATAAAAAATTACAAACATTATCCACAATATGAAAGCATTAAAAGCCAAACATCACGGGGAAAGAAAACCCTCCTCAAATAATGAAACAGTTTATAGTGCAACATAAATAAAACTAATAACAGAATAGAAAAAAAAAACTTAGGTGTAAGGAGGACACTGCTCAGAGTGACATATGAATGACATGAAAAAAAAAATTGATGGATCGAACAAAGAGCTCCATTTTTATTTTTGTCACAAAACATTTTGTTAATGTAAAAGTTCTCCCTTTAATTTTCAAGCACAAAAATAATGCAAAACTGAGAATTTTTATCACAAAGTTGCACTAGGGCAGTTAGAGTTTTATGATGGTTAGGAAAATGATTGAAACAAGCTGAAAGAAACAATTAGAGCAGGAAAGAACTCAACAGCTTTCAAAGTATTGTGGTACGGAAAAATGATTCTACACGTGAAATCAAGGATAATGTCCATAACAATCAATAAATACAGTTATTTGAACTGCACAGGTAAACAGACTGCAATTCATAATGCAACCAATGAAACAAGCAAAAATAAATTGGTTGCCACTGTTGATTGCACTTGTCTGAATCAAACAGATCTAAACAAGGATGGCAACAAGTATGCTTTGCTAACTTAAATTCATGTTAAATAAGTTAATTTCTTAACTTTGTCAGTAACACATCTGCATTTTCTTTCCCCTATCAAGGCTGTGTTAGTGCAGCAACCAGTGTTAACTGGTTACATATATTAATTTCTTCTAGATAATAAACTAAATAATTCACCACAAAAAAAGCAACAACTCTTCCCCATAACTGCTCCTCCTCAGAAATCCACTAGTGGCGAAAAGCATTGTATGATTGATCAATAGAATTTTCTTTTTTCTTTTGAAATAATAGATCAATGGAATATATACCATTACCTCCATTGCATTCATGAAAAACCCTCAAGAACTTGTTCACTTAAAATTTTGAGAAATGCCAACTTTAGTTCACTGCAGCAAGTCACCTCAGGAAAAATGAAATTTCTTCATGAACAGACCTCATTCAACCACCCACCCACCTAACAGCCTGCTTCTTCTCTTGGATCTTAGACTAAACTAAAGCATACAGAGAGTTTGAAAGATATACCAAAAAACTAAGGCTCCATCTTTTACATAAAAACATATCCCATTTCAATTTTTGACACAGATATGCTTTTATTATAAAAGCACGGATGCTAGTATGTATATGCATAATATGTAAATTATTTTTAGAACAAAGGATATTTACAGAGTTTATTTAGAACTCCACAATTAGGTCAACTAAACAAAGATAAAAATGATAAAAATTCAATCTCCATTTTAATTGGAACCAAAGAAGTGCATCCTAAATTGCATTAAAATTGTTGAAACTTAGAGCGTAGAGTTTCAATTACACTTAAATTCTTGGAGGTCTACTTTTATCCTAGTTCAATGGAATTTTCATTATCTCCTAGTTGAATCAAGCATGTATTTTGAAATGAACTTCATAAGACGAATTTATTTGTTCCAAACATTACACAAGTATTAAAAAAATCTAAAAAACATTTTCTCTTCAATTTCAGTATGTATAAATACGAGTATAGAAAAAAGAATTAAGGTTATACACTATGCGCGGCATAGATTCTTCATTCTTTCATATCTCCATACTAGTCTGAGACCCAGCAATCAGCATGTTAAAACTTTATAGACAAGGAATGGACTGACAATGTCAAGACTGCTCATCCATTGGCTTTGAGTTTCCAGAGAAAACACTATCAAGAAAGAACAGATGATTGGTCATGAAATCCCCCTTTACAGCAAGCATATTCACACATGTAAGGACTATGAACAGTTTTTGTTTCCTTGTTTGATCCGCTATCAATAATTAAATGGGAAGCTAGTAAAGCAGATCTAGTTGAATAAACAACTCTCATGACTGCTTCATATTTGAGTCCAATTATGTTTCTTACGGCTGCATATGTCAGTTTCACCTAATCGGCAATTACTATTCCTCAAACATAATTCTCAACATTCTGTAAAGATCAATAAGGACATATTGAAAGATTTATTTCCATTATATGCTTCTAAGAAAAACTACGTTACTTTAACGAAACCCTCACCATCGGCTGCTCACCTTGAGTCAATTAATCTAGTAACATAGGAAAGCAAACTCATCAATTTGTCATTTCACTAGTCAAAGAAACAAATTCACATTCATACTTATAGTTTACAAGTACAAATCCATGACCAGACTCTGAATTCCCAAAAAATGAAAAGGGGGCATCAAAACCCCATTTACAACACTAAATCTAAACAACATTTTAACACTGACCTTAAACTGAGAATGAAATGGATGGTATCCGTGATTGCTATAACCAATTCTTGGGACAGCTGCAGCTCCTCCAACACTGGCTTTCCCCACCTCTCCTGCCTCTTTCCTCTCTCCATCCACTGCCTGTGCTGTATCCTCGCCCCACTCCTGCTCCTCCATGATCGGATTTGCACCACTATCGGCCACAATAACAAGTTCATCATCATCCTCGTCATCATCACCCCCCATTCCTCCTCTCTCCATCCCCATCGGCCCATGATGAGTATTATCATTCAACACTATCTGCAAATCATCTTCACTGTCACTATCCCAATCATCTCCCTCTCCTTCTCCGCCACCAGTCGCTATATCTTTATCCTGGTCAATTCTTCCAGCGCTTTCAATATCTTCCTGATTTGCAGCCGACACAGGGACCGATGTTCCTCCACCACTGGCACTCGACAAGCCGGGGATTATCGGGTCATCCTCAAGTCCAGTATTAACTTCCTCAATATCGAATTTCACATCCTTATCATCAGCAGCAGCAACACCAGCTTCTTCACGGCTCGAGTCCTTCGAAGCTATCTTCGACAATTTCTCATCCTCCATCTCAAACGCACTTGCAGCTCGGCCTGAAACCTCCTCTCCCTGATCGCTTGAGATCGCATCTGGACCTGAAGGAGCTCGTAGAACCGCGCTGGAGTCACGCCCTAGGGTTTGGCTTGACGGTTTCGGGGGAAGAGCAGAACTAGGGAAGGAAGCTCCATGGAGTGCCGCACCATCATCGGATTGGAGATTGAGGTCGATCGGACGGGTGGATAGCGATGGACCAGAAGAGAGCTGTTGAGGCTGCTGAGGCTGCTGAGCCGTAGACGGTGCCGATGATAACGAAAATGGTCTGAGGACGTCCGTGTACAGATCTCCGAACTCGTCATCGTCTTCCATGAGAAAGATTGAGAGGAATTACAAGACGATGGATGATTTGCAGAGAGAAGGAGATGAGCTTGGACAAGGGTTTTGAGATTTGGGAGATGTTACCATTTCGAAGAGCAACGTCTTCTTCTTGTAGGTTTTTATGGACTGTCGTTTTTTTTTTTTTTGCCTTAAAAAAAATATATAATATATAATATATATTATTTCAGTTTTTACATTTATATGATTTTTCAGACTTACAGCGCGTGAGGAGCGAGTGTATTTTTCCAAGTGCATAATCCACTATTTTTAAAATTTTAATTTTTCTTAAAAATAATTGTTTTTTTTTTTTCTCAAAAAAAAAATAACTCTTGATTATTTCATTTTTTTTTTTCATTTCCTCGCAATAAACATAAAAATTTTAAGACAAAAAACTATAATTTTGATATTATTTACAATTAATTTTAGATTTATTATTTATATTTAATATTAATTTAGAATAAAATTTAAAATATAATATTTATTGGAGTTTCTGTAAGCGTATAAAAATTCACAAATTAAAATATTTTTTGTAAATTTAAGTAAATAAATTGTACGGAGAAATTTTATAATAATTTAGAAATAATTTATAATAAACAAAATATTTTGTTCAAATGTCAATTGGGCTTCAGAATTTCCCTAAACGAACTTCATTCGATTTGATCAATCGACAGAGAAACAGGGAGAAAGTAGAGAGGAAAGTATGATCGGAGTAGGGAAGATTAAGCAATACTCTAACGTCCTCGACAAGCCGCTCAGCAAGGGTAAACAAGAGGTCTCTCTCTCTCTCTCTCTCTCTCTCTCTCTCCGCTTCTATTTCCAATTCCTGATTGGATGCTTAGAAAATGCAGAGGAAAAAGAGAGGAAATCAACTTGAAACGGGAAGCTTTACTATCTGTAGCTACGTTTTTTTTTTTTTCTAGTTTCTCTATTTCTCACCTGGAAAATTGGAGTTTTAGATCCCTAGCAGTAGTTGCCATTTTATGGCTGGATGAATTTTGTCGATCTTTTATATGAAATTTGTTTTAGTGAAATCGAGGGGTTTCATTTGGAGTTAATGATTGAATTTTAGTTTACGAAATCAGTTTTGTCATTTGATTCACCGAACTGAATGGCTTATACCATTGGTGAACTGAGCGTGCGTTGTCTTGTCATTGGCTTATTTGAACAGGGAAATTAGTTTAAGTCTAATCGAAGCAACTGAAAATGTGAGATTCAAGCCTTTGTTTCCTGTTCTTTGCCTGCGGTTACTATAGCAATCAACTGGAGTATAGCTGTGATCTGGAGTTGTTTTATTCTGAAGGGAAACATTTTTAGTTTTTATTAGTGGATTGATGATGGTGTGGTTTTTTTTCCCAGGTCAGTTTGAGTGCCTTTGCGTTCTTGTTCTCGGAGCTTGTGCAGTACAATCAGACACAGGTTGACAACATTGCTGAACTTGAAAGAAGGTAATTTACTAGATTGACTCTATTAGTTTCATATAAATTGTATTATTGATACTGGGGTTTTTAGTTTTTGCGTGCATGTATATTATATATTCCCATTTTGTGTCATTGTTGAAGGGGTGGAGGGAAAAGAGAAGAAAATGAAAAACATGGATTTAATTTATGACAAATATGGAGGAAAAAGAGCAAGTAATTTCAAAATGACTAATGGCATCAGGTTGCAAGTAATGAAAATCTAACAGAAACTCTAATTTTTCCCACCTATTTTGTGGAAGTTAATTAGCACAAATAGTTAGACTTTGGCATTAGAGTTTAAGAAGCTGGAAAAAAAATTGCAGTGATGCAGAATTTTAGGTGATACCAATGATGCTATGTTTTTATTACTGTCTCAAAATTATATTGTAATTTGTTTGGGTCATGCTTCACGGGAATGGACCAGGCTGGAGGATGCAGGGTATGCTGTTGGGGCCCGAGTTCTGGAACTTCTTTGCCACAGGGAGAAGGTACAACAATGATGTAAAGGCATATTTAATAGAAAACATTCTATCTGAGGCTTCTAGATTTTACTCATGTTGAAATGTCCTGGTCATAATCTTGACTTTTGAAAGGTGTTTTTTTCTTTAATTGATCAGCGGTACCTCTATTTGCTCAAATTGGACAGACTATAAGCATTATGTATATCCATTAATTATAAGCAATGCATCCGTTATGGTTTATTCTCCTTCGTAGTTTCATCTTAGTGGTGTGTGAACAATGATTAAGTGATCCCCAACACTTCACACATTTGCCATATATACAATGCAGTTACATTCTCGAAATTGGTATGGACATTAGACCTTAAATTTCACTGTAAATCATGAAGGAGACCCATTTTTTAAATTAAAAAATAAAAAATAGTGTAGCATAATGCATTTACAAGCACCAAGGGGGTGCAAACCCGTGAAGAAGACTAGTTACCTATGCTTGATATTCTAAATATGAACATTCGAGTAGTGTAGTTAATCAATTTCTCTCTTTTGCATGCAAAAAAAAAGTGCCTTTTTCTTCAAATTGGAGCTGTTAATTTGGCGTTCTATTTGCTTTTGTAAATCTATAAATTTCCTGGACAAGACAATTCAGGCTGTCCACACATTGCTGTATTATTTATACAGCCTCTACAATGAAGAAATTGAAAAGGTGTACTGGGCCTTCCCACATGTTTCACCTGTTATTTCACGTGGAATCATGATTTTTTGTTTAGGGACAATATCACGTGGAATCGTGATCTATATATGTTTCATTTGGGCTACAGTGATGGATTAAAATGTGGAAAATCTTGGAGAAATTTGGCAGTTGGTTTTGAGTCACACTTACATCTGATAGTATTGATCCTTTCTTCATGTTCTAAGTGTTCTACGATGATGTTTAGATTGCTGCAAATTTAGCACGTGGAACTTGAACTGACATTTAATGTTCCACTGGTCTTTTTTCATTTTGTGCATCGTATAGGTTGATACATTTTTTTTCGTGTGTGTGTGTATGCTGTACCTTGGCACAAGTAACAAAATACTTCTATTTACAGGGAAACAGAAGGGAGACTCGATTGTTGGGTATTTTGTCTTTTGTACACAGCACCGTGTGGAAGGTTCTTTTTGGAAAGGTAAACAAGTTTTGTCTCTTCATCAATATTTGTTGGATGGAGTTGGTGGGACCTGATTTCAACTTCTTTTTCTTTGGAACAATGTGTTGCTCCTGACAACCCGGCCCCACGCACGCACTCACACAAGCACATAGCCGTGATTGTCACATGCCCATTGTCTCTTTACATAACTTTCCTATGCAATCTGAAAAGATAAATGTAAAGTTGTGCAGCTAGTTTTAAAGTTGGGATAGAGTAATCTCATTTTCTTCCCGTCAGTGTGTCCTGCAAATGTACTCTGTGTTCACTTAGTTATCTTAGGTAGCTTCCGTGATATTTATCCAACAACTTTCTCTTTGTTATGGTGTTAGGCAGCTGATTCACTTGAGAAAGGAACTGAACATGAAGATGAATACATGATTAGTGAGAAGGAGCTCCTTGTAAACAGGTTACAGTTTGTTGATGACCTATATTCGTTAAGTAGCTGTTTTGACTAGTTGAACCAGTTAGGTTAAATTCCAAAACTAATTATTTATTCCTCATTTATAGATTTATTTCAATTCCGAAAGATATGGGGACATTTAATTGTGGAGCATTTGTTGCTGGAATAGTTAGGGTAAGTGTTTAACTGTTTTATGTGTTGACAGATGGCTTAGTGAATAAAAGCTCTTATCAACTCCTTTGCCCTTTGAAGGGAGTTTTGGATGGTGCAGGTTTTCCAGCAGTTGTAACCGCCCACTTTGTGCCAATGGAAGGACAACAACGACCCCGCACTACCATTTTGATAAAGTTTGCTGAAGAGGTTAGATGCTAATATTGTTATTTATATGGGTAATTGCTTGCAAATTGAATTCCTTGAAACGACCTGAATTACTTGCAAAATGGCTGAGGATTCCTCTAATTACTAGGACCAGTGAACTTCATAATGTAGTGAAAGAATATTTGATCTTCACTAAATAAATAAATGGAATTATCAAAATAAGCCTTTTCAGATGATCATTTTTATAAAGTTCTTTGTTGCCATTGCTTTTTATTAAGCAATACAAGGTGTGATGGGTATTTAATATGTGACAAGAAAAAGTCACTTCTGAGATCTAATAAGAAAAAACTATTATTCCCCTGGGTATCCAAATTGGTGTTTGGTGTATTAGCTAGAATTGGTGCAAGTATGACCAGACATTTTCTTGACCTTTATAGTCATGCCAAGGAAATTGATAATCTCCTGCAGAACAAGGGCCTGCTAGCTAGTTTTCTTCTCCCCTTTTCTGTACCAAATTCTCTTAACATCTGACTATTAGTTTCTTATATATAACTAGATGTCTTAAGTAAATCTGTTGTTCTTTGAAAAATTGAAGACATGTCTATTGCAACACTATAAATGGCATTAACTGTAAATAGGATGGTGTAAGTTTCAAGGGGCTTGGATTGAAAATTTGAGAGAAAAGAAGAAACATAATTTTTTTTCCTTTTCTAGTCAAAAGATGATTCTTATTCAAATTTAACAGCTAAACTTAATTCCTATTTTTCCAATATTTGAACTTCTTCTCATTCATTAACAGTGTTTTTAACTCATTTTAAAGATTTTTTAACTGAACTTTTATGGAAGATCAGACTAGAATTGCTCTAAAAAATCAACTCTTTGATGGTTGGTTGCGTAGAATCAATAGTGCATTTTGTACCACTTAGGAATGTCAGGTTACTAATTTATTATAATCAAATATTATCTGGTGATGCACTGTTTATATATAATCCAGATGAAACTTTCATTTGAAAATGCTTCTAGATCCTCAAGAGGATCAATATATACTCATAAAGGATTCTGTTTGGGTTTTGCCAAACATTCTTCATGATGGCATTTACAATTATTGAGATTCAATTTTTTAACTGTAGCTTGGATTATATGCAGAGAACATGAAGGATTACTCCCCTCATGTTTTGTGGGAGTCTTTCTTTGCAACATAAATTAGCTGCATTTTTCACTGCTTGTCTGTAAGTTTCTAGACACTTCATATGGTGGGAACATTGTTTGACTGAACTTTCTCTTTCCCAAATCAGGTGTTACGAAGAGAAGCCAGGTTAGGTTGATATTAAATCATAGTGTGTTGTGCAACGACATGACTGACAATTGTCGCACATCGGAAAACAAATCCAAGTTCCTACCTGGCAGCCGCGGACGAATTTGAACTCATTTTAACTAAATGGCAAGCTCTGGTGCACTTGAATCTTCCATCAACTATATTTGTTGAATATAATGGTTATTACTTTTCGTTGTTCGTTTATCTAAAAACAAAATCTTATCACCGTCCCTCAGTTGTTTGGCTTTAGCATTACCACGAACTTGAGAACTAGTATTCCATGAAAGATATTAGTTAAATTTGTGTTTTAAGAGAACATCACACCAGTTAGAGTCAAGTCTTTTCTCTCATTGTCCGTCAAAATTCTGGCTTGATATAAACTCGAAATAGTGTTCCATCCGGAAGATCGGTTGAAAATTATGTTCAACGTGCTAATGAGATTCTGTCTTTCGAAAAAACCTGCCAATGATTTCTTAGATCGGGAGTAAGCAGTGTCGCGGAACAGACACTTGCAGGATTTTGATTCATATTTCTGTAAACCTAAGGTGGAAATTTTTGTTTTGTTATTTGAAGAAGGCATTGGACTGTCTGTCAACCAATTACTTATGTTTCCCTAGTTTTGTGTGTTGTGTTGTGCCTTAATTAGCTTGGATGTGGTTCTAAGGGTGTGTTTGGGTAAACTAATTTGTTCGACAATTTAGCTCTACTGGTTTTTTTTTTTTTTTTTTTTTTTAAATAAGTTAAGATCAAAATATTATGAGTGTATAACTTATTTTAATACTATTTTTATTTAATATAAATTAGTACAAAATTTAGTATAACTTATTAACATTTATAACTTGTAAATGTTTATAAGTTAATATTTAATATGGATTGATTTAATTTTACAAGGATAAATTTTGTATTTTTACATATAAACAAAAAAATTTAAATATATATATATATATATGAAATTGACTTAATACCCTAATTAGAAAAAGTATTACTTTTTTTAATTCAAAATTAAAAAACTATTTCACTAGTTAAAAGAAAAATATAAAAAAAAAATAAGTCGATAATTATATACATATATATATATTTATTTATTTAAAATAAGTTAATTATAAAAAAAAAATATTTAGTCAACGAATAAAAAAACAATAACGATGATCTTCCTCAAACAAACGAGCTGCTGCCATCTGGGAGTTTCAGGTCCATGTCAGCACCTCCCACTTCCATCATCATGCTACCTCCGTGCGCAGCTGGCTCTGGGATCTGGCATTATCTCTCCATCTACGTCAACGTCATCAGTAATTGATAAACTTTGTGGGACGAACTTCCTTTCAGTTAATTATTTTGGCGTGATTAACCTGTCAAATTAAGAAAAACGAAAGCTTTTCCAATTTCTAGCGATTGTACATGCGTTTGAATCAAGATTTACGACCGTTAATGACTTACCCATGTGAATTCTCATCCCGAATGTCGACAAAAAAACAAGTTTTACGTCGCGACTTGGCCCACCCACCAGCTATGGTTGCCATTCACGTTCTGGTTAATTTTTCTTTTTTTTTTCTCTTTTGCTGATAGTTTCTGTCCCGGTCTACTGTTTATGGCATTTGCTTCTTCGGTTCTTATCGGATTATTCGTGATCACATGCCGATCATGTCATCGACCTGTTGTAATCACGTAAATATAAGTATCTTTATCAGATTTGAGATGGTACTGGTTTTTATATTCAGATCTATCTTGTGATGCGAATAAACAGAGGAATCCATTGATGAGATAACGAGGAAAAAGAAAAAGTTGTGTGTGTGTGGAAAAAGAAAAAAAGAGAAGGAAAATGAAAAACCCATCTTGGGTTTGTACGTTGGCCGTACAGCTAACTCTCTGTTTAGCCCTCTATGGTGCTCTCCGCTTGGGTCAGCCCCAGAAGTTGATTTGCCAGGTCGGAGTTGGATCTTTTAATGTTTACTTCATTAGTGTTACAGGAGGTTTTAGAGCTTCAAGACAACAGACCCGTCTACTCAAACTGGTGAGTTTCTCATTCTTTACACTGAATTTCTACAGATTGTTGGGTATTCTTTGAAGTTTTTGAAGGTTTATTGGTTTGTTGTGTTTCTGTTTTTATGTACATTGACGTTTGTAGATGAGGAAAATACATGTATAGAAATCATACATGTTACTTATCATTACGATTCAGTTTTTGTTAATGAACTTGTTAAGGTATGTTTCCTCAGGTTAAGTAGCTGGAATTTTTCCTGAATTCATATAGTTTTGTACAATAATTTGTGTTGATTTTTGTTTATGTTTGTCTTCTTCTTCTTCCTTTTCTAAAAGGAGATTGTTCAGACTTTAGAGGATGCCTTATACTCATTACTGTAACTCTTCTTTTTCTGATCTTTAATAATACTTCTTTCTTATCAAAAACAAAAACAAAAAAGAAAAAGAAATTTGCAGCATTAAGAAGAATATTCTTGTTCTTCTTTTTCTTCTGGAAAAAAGAGAGATTTCTAGCCGATAGAATCTTCAAACTGGTCAGTTTTGTACACAAAGTTCAGTTTGAATCTCTACCAAACTTTGATAGATGCCAATGCTTAACTATATCAATGGCAGAACCAAATACAGCTCTTGGACTGTACTGACATGCGTAGTAATGTGGGTTATATTTCATAATTGGGTTACAGTGCCATGTTTTCTGTGGGTTGCTTGCTTAGACATATGGGTTACATTTGATAATGTTGGTTATATTGCCATATTCTCTGTGGGTTGCTTGGGTTTAGAGGTTACTTTGGGAGTAAGTCCTAACTTTCCAGTAGAGAATTAGACCAGTACATAGCATCCAGGATCCACCCAGTTTCATATATGAGAAGGGTTTTTCTCCAATAAGACTGTGAAAGAGAGAGATGATGAGACCTTGTCTTATATCACAGATGGTATTTCACATACAAAAGATGTTTTTTGGGCTTTCTTTCTCATTGCCTGTAACTTGGTCTGTATTTAGCATTTTCTCGCCTAGCACTCTTGTTTTCATATGGATCTTGATATTTGGTTTGACCGATCAAATTCTGTGTTCTTGGATATTGGGTTTGATTGATTGAACTACATGTTCTTTTTCTTTTGCCTTTAAAATTTTCTAATTTGGTTTTTCTGGTCTTGTTGGATGTCTCTTGATCAATAAAGATGGAGAATGTGGCAAAAGCTTATAAAGCAGAGTTTGTGTTGGACATTACTGAGCTTGGGGAAGATGATCCACTCATGCAGAATGTAAGATAACTTTATTCTGCCCATAAAGTTTTTCAATATCAAAACATTGGCATTTTCGAATGCTTCTGATAGACTTATGATTTGCAGGCTACCGAGCTATTTCGATCACTGGAAATTCCCTGGTATAACCTCATCACTTTACCAATCATTCTTTGGCTTGCGAATATTTGCATAAAATGTTGCTGTTGCCATTGCGATATATAGTTATCCTAGTTGTAAAAGACTCTTTTCTGTTTCAATGGTCCTGCAACTGGTTATTGAAGGTGAACCTTGTAGGTTTGCTACCAGAGCTTCAAAACGACGAGAAGCTGGCTACTTTATAGAGCAGATCGAACTGCCTTCTGGGAATTCCCTGGACATTATCGGTATTGATACTGGCAAACTACTGGTAGGTGCTTCCTTTTTTATTCTCCAGAATTTTAAGTTTGGATTGCTTGTTGATATAACTGAGCGAAAGCTCTTCCACCATAAGCAAGTACTTTCTTCTTGAATCCGCCTGATATAATGGTATATTGAGAAAAAGCTACTGCACTGTCCTTTAATTATATGACTTGGATTAGCTGGAGCATTCAATTGCAGGATTAACCACACACCAGACATGATGCCCTAGTTTCAATCTTCATCAAGTTTCTGCATGTCTGAAATTTGCACCAGTACATAAGATTCATTCCCAGAATAGCAACACATCAATTCATAAGATTTAACTGTAACCAGTATCATCATGTTTCTTTTCTCTAACTAGGCTTCCTATGAAACTTTAAGGACTCAACACTAATGGAATCATCCAGAGGCACCAATAACAGTCAGTTAAACTGGCTAACGAGGACCCTAGGGGCAACCGATGCTAACTGGTAAAATATCATAATTGGCTACTAGCATGCTATCTAATATATATAATCGAGTAAATGCTACAAATTAGAGACACTGATTTCTTCGTCATCGTTGAATCCAGGCGTGTGGTTGTTGGATTCGACCCATTGTTTTCCTGCAAACACAATGCAGAGCAAACTAGAGGAAATCAAGTAAATCAACTTCATCAGATTTTTCTGAAATTTGGAGTGGTAAGAAGTTAAGCATGATTTTATTCAGCATTTGGTTAGTGAAATTTGTCAAACTGGTTTTGGGAGATTACTGTGATGATCTGAAGATTCGTACAATACCCAAGTCATTGTAACTTACAACCGATTACATGCTAGATTCATTATAAAATTAAACTGAATAACATATAACCCCCATTCAAAGTCACAACAAAACTTTTGCTCACTCTGAACCCTCTCTTGATCTCAAGAATGCATATCTAAGCAAGCAAGGTTGCACCAACTACGCGCGTCTA